ATGGCCTGGGCCTGGGTGCCTTCAACCAACTGGCGCAGCGCAACTGTCTGAATTTCCCCAGTTGTGGGTACCCTGAAAATCGAGGCCCTGAGGGCTTGTCGCGCCTGCCTTCACTTAGGGCGGCCGACGTCCTGAAAAAGGGGCCCCAAAAGGGCTGAGCGGGCGTAGCCTCGCAGTTGGCACCCGCTACCCAAGAGATAGACCACTGGATCCCCCGATCGGCATCAAGCAGAGTCTGCTTTGTTCGTAGGGGAGGGGCCTGAGGGGAGGCATGGGGGGTTGGTCCGCTTTATCCCTGGTGCTACTGGCCGTCCCCTGGCCGGTATCCTGCAGGCTCGAGGGGCCGTAAAAACACGGCTCTGGCATGCTACGGGTTTCCCCGTATGCCTATAGGTAGGAGTACTGGTAGGTAGGTAGTGTGACGAAAAATTGAGAGAAGAGTATAGTTTTAAAGAAAAAAAAAATAAAAAAAATTGTTCGTATTTTTTTTTTCGGGATTTTTTTGATTTGTTTTGGAAAAAAAATCAAAAATTTGAATACAGAGTACGTACTACGTACATTGTAATCGAATACAACGTATGTTACATTTGACCGTGTGTTCTATTCAGGAAAAAAACAGCTATTTCTCGGGACCTGTTTTCAGAGGTCAGTTGAATAGAACGTACGGGCGTTTTTTTTTGGCTGAAGACAGTAGTAGAAGTTGTAGTGGGGAAGTGGTTTCTTTTCTGAATTGCCAGAGGTAATGAGTGAACGGGTCAGAGGTCTCCGAAATTGGGATGTTGGGGAGCATCACCTGCTGGGAATGGCTCCCAGCCGCCGCGAAAGGGAAACATGCACTGTACTGGGAAATGTGCCCAATATTCAAAAAGGGAAGCTGGCCAGGAATGACACCACCCAAAGGCCAATCGTCACATTACCCTCGGATGCAGGGATTCATCCAACCCCAGGGGCAAGGGGGCTCAAGATAAGGGTGAAAGCATTGCAATGAACCCAGTCTGGAGAGAGAACTCGTCAATGTCGAAGTACATGATGTCTCAGCGCATGTCAATGTCTCCAATAATCATGAATGTGATCCGAAGTACAATGTCTCGTAACCAAAGGACGAAGCTGATAGGAGGGAGATAAGAGTTGGGGTGGAAGAGAAAGTATCCATCACTGTCATCGCAGATAGATCTCCCTCATGTCCCACTCCTTTGGGAATCCCCCCTCTGTCCACGTCAGCGTACAGTATCCCAAAGACGAGCCTGGCGAGAACCGGTCACAACATAGTGCCACTTAGGCACAGATCTCCCATGAAGACATCACAGCAGCCCGTAATGTTGATAGTGATATCAGGTAAGCTTCCCTCTCCCTCACAACCAATCTCACAGCCCTGATCTCCCTCCTCGTTGATTTCCCAATCTGTGTCGAAGTCAATGTGGCAAGCGCCGCGTCAGCAATCAAGTCGTTGCACGCAATGCCAGCGTAGTGCCAGGGTCAAGCCAGTGTCCAGCAAGCGTCCAGCCAGTGTCGAGCAGCAAGTGCAAGATTGAATGTCGGTGAGCAGGGGCTGGGTCAACTTATAGTTGACTCAAAGCTGACCAGCCTCTGGTCTCTCGAATACGATCGCCCAGATTGACCCGCGGGCAATGGCCTGGATCTCGTACAGTTGCAGATTCCACTTGGACTGGATTCTTGGGGGATACCTGGAAATCACCATGTGCATGTCTGATTGGTGGCCTGGGCTGGGTCGGTATTGACTCGTTAGCTTCAATTCACGGGCTACAGTTGACTGTTGACTTTCTTCGGTCGTAGGGTCTCTGAAGCCTCGTTTCGGGGCCCTGTTTGGATACGGTCTGGCGCAGGGCCTTGCTGTGGCCTGTGAACAGCCCTTAGCCGACGACAACAGCATATTTTGACCGGGTTATTACAGCATTGTTGCTCCTTGCAGTAGGCAACCTGCTCCAAAGGTTGCCACCAATGTTTATAAACTGTCATCACAGTGGGTGGACCACTCCACTTTGCCACTCAATGAGGTACCGATACTTCTTATTTAGATATAACTCTGTGCAAGAAGGCCTAAGTTTTTTGGTGTTAGGACTCTTAAGTGACTTGCAGAACGGAAAGGAAGTCTTATGCGTTGACATATTGATTCTGTTGTGATTGAGCTGGTGCCAGACAATTCCAATACGAAGTGGAAATCTAATGTGTTGACACATCGGTTCATTCGAGTTTGAGGTGGTGCCTGGTTATTCCATCTGCTGGGTGGGTATTACAGTAAAACTGAAGTTGTGCTGGCAAATTGTCCCAAAGCTCATGTATTTTTTTGTGTTCTGGCTATGTTATGGAATGTTCTGTGGATTCAGGCACTGGTGGAGTACTTCGGGACGCTCTCACGTGAATGGGCCCTTGAATGCATGAAAGAGATTCTTTTGGTTAATCCAAGAGGGAACTTGCAGATTGTTGTTCAGGTATATTTGTGAGAAGTTACTCAGAACCATTACCTTGCTGTTGGCTGATCGGGATGCAGCTGGACTGGGATCTTCTAACAAATGTGCCACCCTAGCTGGAGTCCCAACTTGACAATGTCCCTCCACTTTGATCGGAGGGACTGCTAGGGCCTACACGTTGCATCGAGAAGCAAGGGCAGAGCTCTGACTCCCTTCAGTTCCTCCCATAATGCATCCAATACGGTTTTTGCTGGCTGTCAATGGAAACCAAACCCGTGAGCAGATGTGAGAGATCATACTATGTTCTATTATAGCTCCTCTGGTCGGGTGAAATGCTGCGTTGCGACTCATCTCTACCGTATTCTGGTTTTACCAACGGTGGAGAATTTGTGAAAGGTCGCGCCGCAGAAATCATAAATGGAAAAGTAGGCCACATTCATTGTTGGCACAGGCCGACCTTGTTTTCTTTTCTTTGAAACTACTGGTCGAATTTGAATGGTGGTGATTTTTTTGAAACCCGTTTCAGACATTTTTTGATTTGTTTGTGTCATCCTCTTGCAAGGGCCGTGCAATTCTCAACTGGCTTGTTGGTGGTGCCAGCCACCATTGGCAGAAGAATTACATAGGCGCCACCAGTTTCCTTTGTGGGCAACCTGGTTCTGAGCAAGCACGGCTGGCTCTGGCGAGTTGTGTTTGGGCATGCTCATATCTTGGGGAGGCATTATTTGACCAGCAGCTAGCCCTCTGACCGCGGCCATGACCAGCCATCCTCTGTCAACCTGACATGTCCAAACTCCTCCCTCCCTCCACTGGACCTCCTCCTGACCGCCTGTGACCACCTTCCCGGCCTCCCTGTTTTACTGTATGCTGCTCCATCTGTCACCATAGCACGTTCCACTACTTCGTCCCTCCGTCCGTCCTCTGCCTGACCTTCTCCGGGCTTCTTGTTGGACCTGCCGGTCTTTCGCCATCTACCCTCCCACCTGATCATCCGTCACGTCTGCCACTGTGGCATACTGAAACCACACGGGCCCCAGTTAGGGCCCAGTTGTGTCATCCTCTTGCAAGGGCCGTGCAATTCTCAAATGGCTTGTTGGTGGTGCCAGCCACCATGGGCAGAAGAATTACATAGGCGCCACCGGTTTCCTTTGTGGGCAACCTGGTTCACGGCTGGCTCTGGCGAGTTGTGTTTGGGCATGCTCATATCTTGGGGAGGCATTATTTGACCAGCAGCTAGCCCTCTGCCCGCGGCCATGACCAGCCATCCCTCTGCCTAACATCCTCTGTCAACCTGACATGTCCAAAATCCTTCCTCCCTCCACTGGACCTCCTCCTGACCACCTGTGACCACCTTCCCGGCCTCCCTGTTTTACTGTATGCTGCTCCATCTGTCACCATAGCACGATCCACACCAGGCGCTACTTCGTCCCTCCGTCCGTCCTCTGCCTGACCTTCTCCGGGCTTCTTGTTGGACGTGCGGTCTTTCGCCATCTACCCTCCCACCTGATCATCCGTCACGTCTGCCATTGTGGCATACTGATACCACACGGGCCCCACTTAGGGCCCGGTTCTGTAGTAGGCACGGTTTAGGCCTAGGGACCAGGTCACAACGGTCCCAGCTAGGTCCAGGTCGGCCTAGCAACCGTCGGTTCAGTTTAGGGTCCGGTAGGCCTCGTTTAGACCCCACCGGACCGAACGGTTAGTTGGTTAGGCCAGGTACCGGTCCATCGGTAGGACAGGCCAGCGGCGCAGTTTAGGCGCCACTTTTCAGACTTTGAAATCGGATCTGAACCGTTGGCCCAGCTAGGTCCAGGTAGGCCTAGGAACCGTCAGTTCAGTTTAGGGTTCGGTAGGCCTTGTTTAGACCCCACCAGATCCAACGGCTAGTTGGTTAGGCCAGGTACCGGTCCATCGGTAGGACTGGCCGGCGGTGCAGTTTAGGGGCCACTTTCCGGGGACTTGAATCGGATCTGAACCGTTGGGCCTGATCAACGGTCCAGACCTGAAGGCACCAGTAGTACTGAGGCCCACCCAGCAGCACTATATCAGCTGGGTACCAGCCTCAGTCGGTAGGTTGATCTACAGTTTGGTCTGGAGGTTAGGCTACGAGTTGGTCTACAGATTTAGTGCAGCAGCGAGGAGGAATAGCGCAGCAGCAGGAGCAGCGCCGGCCCTCTGGCCCAGCACCCAGCCCTGCAGAGCCATAGCTGCATCGCCAGGTACCAGGGAGAAAGGCTTCACCTTTCCTCCCTCTACTTCCTCCTCTGCTCTCTCTCTCTCTCTCTCTCTCTCTCTCTCTCTCTCTCTCTCTCTCTCCCCCCCCCACCCTCCAAGTCTAGTCTCGGATTACTCCTACTGGACTACTACGAATATGAAGGATGGTTACGAGTCCTGATGACTCTCTCTCTCTCTCTCTCTCTCTCTCT